GGTGATGTCTCTTCTGTCAGAAGGAGTGAGGAGTTGGGAGACAGGACAGAGGTGGGAGGGAGGAAGGGGTTCCAGCAAAGTAAGATATCTCAGGTAGGAAATCTTGAAATCACAGGCAAGGTCAAGTCTGGGTGACTTGAGCCTCAGCCAGCAGAGAAGGAAGCACCAAGGAGGGTGAGTCACCAGAGATGACAGTGGCCAAAGTATAGTGAGATGCTTGGGGTCATCTTTCCCCTTGCTCCCTGGAGGCATTTTGGTCTTTCAGGAAGAGCTATTGTTTTTTTTTTTTTTTTTTCCAAAACCTGAAAAGTACCTTTTTTGTTTGTTTTAAAGACCAGACGAAGCCATATAAAGCAGTCCTGTCCGCTGGCTTCACGCACAGGAGAGCGGTCCCCTTTGAGCTCAGGTGCTGTGGGCTTCTGACTGCTCCTCTGTATTGCAGCTCTTCCTCCCTCCTCCCCGGACTGTTGACGCTGATACTGTTTCTTTCACACATGGAGAAACTGAGATCTCGAGTGATTGGGCAAGTTTCCAGCCATAGGACTAGAGGGTGGCAGGGTTTTTTTTTTTTGTTTGTTTGTTTGGTTTTGGTTTTTTTGTATTTCTTTAAACAGCAGGATACTGGGGTGATATTATTAAGTTCTATTTAAAGTTGGTATTGAGTTAGTTTACGTGTTCAGCGGCTTTGTGGGTGGGACTGGAGTGGAAGCCATGGTCTGTTGAAGCCTTCTGTAACTTGAAGAGAGCAGAATTAGCTCCCCCCCTCCAGTGTGGGATCCCACCATCTAGACTCTGCACCCTTCTCGACAGCTCCTGGATTCTGCAGCGGCATTGCTGTGTCCAGCTATCTTCTGTACTTGGAGAGATGTATCCAAGTCGGTAGACACTCACTTCTCTTTGGGGAGGAGCTGATTGTCACCTGAGGTCATTTTGTGCAAGGCAGGGAAACATTCTGATCCTAGCCACCAGCAAGTGTTGTGGTCATAGGAGGCTGTACAAGATGAACTAACTTGTATTGTGGACTGTGAAAACTCTTATTCGTGTGTTATCCATAGTCACCCAGTGAGATCGGCCAGTTACTTTCTCCTTGCTCTTTATCTGTGAGTCACCATAGGCCGAAAGACATTTATAAATGAGTTTAGAAATACATGATAGAGTTTTATAGGAGTCTTGTTATAAAGCCTTGGTTCTTAATATTATCTGACTTCATTTTAATGTGACTGCTGTCCATCTGCCCATCACTTCATGACCTCAACCCTCTACCCATTCTTTACCTGTCAACTGTCTATTCGTCCATCAGTCATCCTTCCATGGATCCATCCATCCATCCATCCATCCATCCATCCATCCATCCATCCATCCATCCATCATCAATCTACCCAACCAGCTATCATTTATGCATCTACCCATCCATCCATGTCTTCATCCATCCATGCATCCATCTATTTGCCCCTCTATCCATCATCCATTCATTCGATCATGATTTCCCATTCATCATCTCCCCAACCACCCATCATTTACCCCAGCTCCCCATCCATCTATGCATCCATCCACCCTTGCATCTATCTGTCTATCTGTTTGTCCATCATCTGTCATGATCCTCTTATCCCCATCAACCCACCCACCTGCATATCCACCAACCGCGTAACATTGTCTTCTGCTTTATCTGGCGGAGGAATCCCTTTACTGCAGGAGTTAAACCTATACTTTCTAGAGCAGAGACCTCCATTCTGTTAAACACCCCTTAGCTCCCAAGAGCTGTGTATTTGCTAGTGACAGTCTAGGCGGGTGTCCTTGCGCATGCCCCCATTCCAGACACTGCCAAGCTATTCTGTCAACTGCACAGAGTCTCTCCCCACAATGTCCTCGAAGGAAACAAAGCTGCAGGCTCTCAGCTTCCTGAGGTGTTATTATGATTGACAGGCAGCACCTTTGACCCCGCAGGTTGGGGGCAGGATGAATTGGTCCCAGGTGTATTTTAAAATAGAAGAACTGTTATTGAGTTTGTGTGATTTATGCAATGCATCTAAAACAGTCTTGTAAGGAAGGAAATTGTAATAGAAAGAGGTGAATTCAAGTAGAGATGAGTCAATTAAGGAGTCAGTTAAAATTGTCCGAGAGGCAGTATTATTACGAGGAGGTGTGACCTAGCTAGATCCGGATTTTTTAAGGCGGAGCAGTGAAAGTCACCTCGTTACTTTCCCTAGCTCCTGGTATATGTTCACTCACTCACTTCACGAAACTTCAACCTGTAAACATGCAAAGTCAAAGGGCCTCTTGTATCTAGTACTTTACAACCATTATCACGCTCACTGCACACCCTCTCCCTTCTGTATTCTCTTTCCTAAGTTTCAGGAGTGCGGTCTTTGCTTGTAGTTCAGTGCCAGTGGATCGGACTTTCATCTTGGAATGAACAGTGTGGACACTGAAAAGTACGGGTGAAGAGTAGGGGCGTGGCTGCATGAGAGAACACTAACTTAGCCTTCACGAGGTCCTGGGTCCAGTAGCATCAAAGGAAACAACAACAACAACAACAAAAGAAATATGTTTGAATGTAGTTTTTTATAAATTCTCATGAAAATTGAGTGCCTGGGGGCTGAAGGACAGAGCTCCTTATATAGAATAAGCTAGCCTCAAATCCACAGATCTGCCCATCTCAACTTCCCAAGGGCTGGGGCTTGAGGCATGCACCAGCACATTTTAAAAAATGATATATACTTTTATTAATTTTTGAGAATTCATACAATCATAAGATATATTTTGAACACCCCTGCTTCTTCCCCTAAGTCCTCCAAGATCCACCTCCCATCCTCCATCCTTCCCAACTTTGTGCTCTTTCGCTCTGTTTTAGAACCTACGGAGTCCAGTTTGTGCTACCCATATATAAATGGGTGTGGGCCTTCCACTAGAGTTGGGTCAATCTAACAGGGGTCACACCCTTGCAGAAAACCAGCTCCCTTCCCCAGAAGCTGTCAGCTGTCAACAGCCCCTCATCTGGGGACGCTTGTGACCCCCCTCTGTCTCCATGCTGGAGTATTGGCTGGCTTGATTTTGTGTGGGCGGTCACAGTTGCTATGCATTCATGAGCTCAGTGGTTCCGTCATGTCGTGTGGGAGGTCCTTCTGTCTATGTGTTGATTTTATTGGTTAATGAATAAAGAAAACTGGCTTGGCCCATAGCATGAGAAGAGGAAGGTGGAGTTAGAGGAAGCCATGGATCTGCTGCCTGAGACAGACGCTGAGAACTTTAGCTGGTGAGCCACAGCCACGTGGCGATATACAGAATAATAGAATTGGGTTAGTTTAGGATATGAGTTTAGGCAGTAATATGCTCAAGTTATTGGCCAAACGGTATTGCAAATAATATGGTTTCTGAGTGGTTATTTTGTGGCTGGGTAGCCAGAACAAAAAACAACCCTTCCCCCAATAGTCATGTCCAGGGGACTTTATTTCTCTCAAGTTCTCCTCCAGTCTCTGGCTCTTAACTTCTGCCCCCTCTTCCGTGATGACACTTGAGCCTTAGGGGGAGGAAGTATGATACAGGAGTCTCATTTAGAGCCAAGTACTCTGTAGACACTCATTCTTTGCACCTTGACCAGCTGCCACTGACAAATCCAAATTTAAGTGGATAATGAGGTTGAAAGGATAGTAAATGAGCTCAAAAAGTACCCCTGGCTTATGTCCCTTGAGATGACTCAGCAGGGAAAGGCACTTGCCACCAAATCTGATGACTCAACTTTGAGTCCCTGGATCCCACGTGGTGGAAGCAGAATTAATTCCTGCAGGCTGCCTTCTGATGTGCAGAGTGGCATATACACCCCACATAATAAATAAGTAAATGTTCAAATTTTTTTAATAAAAACAACCCTTCACTTTAAAGCACATGTAATTCTCTTGCAGAGGACCTGAGTTTGGTTCTTAACACCTAGGTTTGGTTTGCTCACTCCTACCTGTGATTTCAGCTCCAGCCACACCTCCGCTAACCTCTGAATGTACTCCACACATGCACTACCCCCACACATATGTATAAATAAAAAAATCTTTTAAAAAAGATTTATTATATAAAAATAGCAATGAAATCACAAAGATAAATTAATATGATGCCATATGTATTATTGCTCAATTAATATTACTTATTTTTTAAGAGTAGAAATCCTCATCAGATGGATCTTTCAAAGTCTGCTTTGCAACCCCGAAAACAAGAATCTCTAGAGAAACCCTGTAGTGCTATCTCAACAAAAGGGAGTGAGGGTGGATGCAGGAAGCCACCCCTATGGGATATAGCCTAAAGAGTCACCATGGAACATCATGACTGTGATGCTTTAGTTTTGAGTGGGAGGGGCAGGGCTGTGAAGTCCAACCCAGGGCCTCTTGTCTGCATGGCAGGTGTTCTGCAGCTAGATTAAACCCCCAGCCTTTCAGCCACGTTCTCAAACAAGCCAGCTCTCTCCCTAGCACTTGCTGCCTGGGATTGACTGGATCGAAGACCCTCACTCGAAATAGCAAGTACCGGAGCCTCAGAGAGCAAAGGCTGTGCAGTTTGTTTTATGATCTTGTAAGGCTGGCAGCCACCCAGATAAAGTGCAAGTGTTTTTGCAGAGTGCATGGGACAGTTTTTTTCTATAAACCTGAACCCAAGGCTCCCATTGAAAGCCAAGTCATCTGGGAGGTCTAATATTACATGTCACCTGCCACATCCAATGCTTATCTATTTCTCAATCTATGCTCCACACGGCTTCATCTCTACATTTGCATCCTTGTCTGTCTTAAAGCTTCTGCAGTGCATGGCCTTGCCATGTCTGTAGAGGATCAGGCAAGCTTTGCTGTTAATAATTTTCCACTCTAAAAGCTCTAGCGTGGGTGTTGGGGGCTCTTCCGGCCGATATTTGCGGGGACTCAGTGTCCGCCTGTCCATCTGTAGCTGGACCTAAGATGGCCTGAGGCACTTTGGAACAAGGATGGTGATGTCCTGCTTCTCACTGTCTTGTCTTGCCTTCTCAGGTCGAAAGGATTGTGGACAAGAGGAAGAACAAGAAGGGGAAATGGGAATATCTCATCCGATGGAAAGGCTACGGCAGCTCCGAGGACACTTGGGAGCCAGAGCATCACCTCCTGCACTGCGAGGAGTTTATTGACGAGTTCAACGGGCTGCATGTGTCCAAGGACAAGAAAGTGAAGTCAGGAAAGCAGGCTGCAGCCTCCAAGCTCCTCCGTGACACCCGCAGCCCACCAGTGGAGAGGCTCCCCCACAGGCCCCTGGAGCCCGGCAAAAGCAAATCAGCTTCCCACAAGCGGAAACGTATCAACTCTCCCCTGTCCAGGCCCAAGAAGGGGTCTTCAGGGAAGGCCCCTGGGGCCACTAAGTCTGTGTCCTATAGGACTACTCCCAGTGGCTTGCAAATTATGCCCATGAAGAAGGCTCAGAATGGCTTGGAGAATGGAGACGCTGGTTCTGAGAAGGAGGAGGTGCACTTTGGAAATGGGTCCCATCAGCTGGATTTGGATTTGAGTGACCAGGTTGGAGAACAGGATGCCAGCGACTGTGATGGGACCCATTCTGCGCTGGTGGAGAATGGAGTTGGTTTGTGGCTTTTTTCTCTCTTGGGGTTGGCTTTGGCTGTCGCCAGCTGTTTCGTTGTTGTTTGAAATAGGATCTTAGGTAGCCCAGGAGCCTCAGATTCACTAAGTATTCTAGAATGGCCTTAACCTCCCTATCCCCCGCCTCTATCTCCTGAGTGTTGGCGCTCTAGGCAGGCACTGTTATATCCTGGCTTAGGTAGAGGCGGAACACAGGGCATTATTGCATGTTAAGTAAGCACTCTACCAACCATGCCACCTCTCTAGTCGCTTGGTCTGATTTTTCTTTCAACCTAGGGAAACACATAATTCATGCCTCCTGTTTGACTCTTAGCGACTGTTAATACTGCCTTTGTCTCTCACATCAGGGCCGTGTAAACTTGACCTCACACCCATGTCTGTTATTAGATACCTTTTCATTTGGGAATACCCAGCCACAGATGCTCAGGTGGGGTCCTGTGATGGCTTACAAAGGCCTAACTATAGCTAGGCCTGCCATCGTAGCCATGTGGGATGCTGAAGAAGGAAGCTTGCAAGTTTAAGGTCGCTCTGGGCTACAGGTTGAGTTCATGGTCAGCCTGAGCCACTTAGTAGGAGATCCTGTAATGTAAAGAGGGCTGGGGGCATCCAATCCCCCGTGCTGTTATATACAGAAAGAGAGAAAGAGAGTCCCTCATACACTGTCGGACACCCACAGCCGTGGCCACCACACCAGATCTACATCCCGGAAGGCAGCTCAAGAATTCTTACACCCCAGAACACAGGGGTCATCCACAGAGGGCCAGCACCTCCCATGGGTCTCACTCACAGCCTTGCTTGTGATCTTATAGTGACCAGAGAGGGGGTCACCTAGGGGCTGCTCTTCCTTCCAGATTTCCGGGTGAAGCTCGCCACCCCAACACAGGATGGGAGATGCCTTTCCTGCTGGTGTCACATAGGTGATGGACTTCATTTCTTTATCATGTCCTGCTTCAATGTAGTCAGGATGCTGTCACAAAATGACCGAGACTAGGTCACCATGGAAACGTAATTCTCACAGTTCTAGGGACTGGAAAGTCCAAGATGGAGTAGGCAACAGCCAGGGCTGCTGAGGGATGTTCCTTGTAGATGAAGCATGGCTTCTAGCTGTGTGCTTATTCGGTGGTTATGACAGCCTACCTCCTTTCATGATTCTGTGTTTAATTTCTTTATAAAGTCTCTATGTTTAGACCAGACTTGCCTTGGACTCCACTGTTGCCCAGGCTAGCCTGGAGCTTCTCTTATAAAGTCATTAATCCCATTCAGGATAGTAGAGTTCTCATGACTGTATCCTCTTCTACAGACTCTGCCTCTTGATACTGCTACATGGAGAATTAGGATTCAAGATATGACTTTTAGGGGAGGGGGAACTCCAACACCCAGACTGTGGTGGGTCTTAAATGCAGTTACAGCCCCATCCTGTGCCTGCTGTCTTGCCTGCCCCTTTCTTCTCTGTTTGGGAAGCAGTGCAGACTGTGTGCGGCTCACGTTAGATGGTCGATTTCTTCCCTCCTACAGTCTCCGGAAGCAGAATTAAAGGAGGCGGCCGTGACCTGAGTGACTTCAGCTTCCCATGCTGAGACTTCCTCAGTGGCCAGATGGCTCCTTAGCAGAGACCTCAGTGGCCTGTGTCCTTGGGCAAGCTGTGTGTTCCCGTTCCATACCTCCTCTTTTTCTCAAACACTTTTGTATATACCTGCAGGCAGCATCTTCATCTTTGGGGGATCAGATCCCCAAGCCTCAGGGGCTTCAGGAAATACTTTCTGGGCACACAACACCTGTGCCCAATGTGCAGGGCCCTCAGATGGCCCTGATGGAACGATTGTGTGTACGTGTGTGAACAGGGCTGCTGGGATGCGGGTGATGCAGCAGCTGGCTGGACCATGAGGCAAGTTCATCAGGGATGACGCTAAGTGTGGGGTCTGGACCATTCTGAGCATGTTCCATTGGGGAGACCTTGCCATCACTTAGAGGTTCCTCCTGCTCCAGAGAGGAATTTCACCCTAACACGATTTATTTAGGTGTCTGCCCCAGCCTGACTCATGTTTCCGTCTGGGGATCCCCAGTGCTGCTGTGCTGTGCCTCAAGCATATGGAAGCGCTGTTTGTTTGAAACATTCATCTCTTGGGGGAGAAGTAGCTTGTGTGAATGAGGCTTGGCATAAACACCCGCGTTTGATGTTCCCGTGACAGCTGCCAGCAGTTGCAGGATCCCCTGTCGATGCGGGAAGGGAGGCAACGGGAAACCTCTTAGGCTCTCTGGGTACAGGCGCAGGAGCCTGGGCGGGAGCCCAGCAGCTGAGCCACTGATACACTCTGCCAGGCCTGCAGCTTCCCCAAGAGCAAGGAGGGGCATGAGAGGTGACTGGCTGACTATCAGACAGTCGTGTGGCGCACAAAGGGAGTCTCTTCCTGCTTGTGCTGTCTTCTCCGGTGGGGCGGAACCACTAGCCATTGGCACTGGGTTGAGCTACCTTGAACGATGACCCGCTAATAGGGCCTGGCGCTCCATCATCTGGGAAACTAGCGTGGCCCTACCTTCTGAAGTCTCTGGGAGTTTGCAGCTTTTCTGGACCATCCTCCTCCTTGGTCCCTTATCTCTCTACCTTCCTCGGATAGTGTACATCCACACATCCAAGGGCCCCAGCTGGAACAGAGGGGAAGGAGCCGCCCACCTCTATTGTGTTTGCGGCTGTTCCAAATCCTTCTGTTTAATTATCCTTTCGTGTTGGTGCCCGAAGCTCCCATGAGGAGAAGGCTGTTGGTCTCATATTTCCTATGTGTAATATCCCCTGGGTACCTGCGACAAATGCAGGCAGAGCCCACAGTATCTGAGGTACTGAGTCTTGGATGGAGTCCAGAAGACCAGATCTTCCCAGGCGCCTCAGTGACTTCCGTGTTTCAGACGTCGTACCAGGATGAGAGGGTGGTGTCGTTTCCCATCAGGCACCAGCACCCCTTAATTCAGTTCTGATTCTTGGAGCATCTGTTCAGGATCACTGCCCTGCTGGGTGTTAGAGTAGAGAGAGGGGCAATGAGGATTCAGGGGTTCATCTTTTATGACTTACAATCTACCCTCTGCTACACTGGTGGCCTCTGGCTGTGAGTTGACCTGAGCTGACTCCATAAACAGAGTCATGTGTAGGACATGGAATGGCTTTGCCATATTTACATACAAGTTTCCTGTCGTCACGAGTATGAGAAATGCCCCCAGACACAACTACCCTTTAACACTCTTTTGTTACAACTAGCTTATTATCCGGGTCTGTCAAGAACTCAGGAAAGGGGAGGCAGAACCCTTGCAAAGAGGGTAGTCTGAGATTCGTAGACAAGACCCCACACGGGAAGTGCTGTCTTTCTGGGTCTTTCCAGCAAGGAGTTAGAGGTGCACTGAGACCCAGCATCTCCATTCATATGTCTGGCCAGAGGGAAGCTTTCCTGAGGGCTACAACTACATCTAGGTCGGACATTGGCTTTTTCCCTTCTGGGCCTTCACACCAAGGACCTCCTGCAGCACAGGAGTCCCCCCTTTGCCCTGCAGAAAGGGTCAGAGGGCTCCTGGCCGCACCTCATGGCAGTGCTTTGGGATGGGGTGTTGATTCTTATATGGTTCTTACTTACAAAGTGACAAGTTCTACTTAGAGAAAAGTAGCTTATATAATACACTTCCCATTGACTGTGGACTTCCTTATGCTACAGGGACAAACCAAAACCAGGGCCTCAGTGGGTAGCACATGTTGGTTTCACACCACGCCTCTCCCTGCTGAAGCTTGTGATGTATAATGCCGTGGCTCAGTGCCCCGTCTCTATTCTGATTCTTCTCCTGTAGTGACAAATGACTTTGTGGTTCAGGGACCATCTGCCTCAGTGTCCCTTTGGGAGCTTGTTAGAATGAGCTCCGCCCCATCCGATGAATGGGGACCGGGGGCAGGTGTGAGTCACTCCTGTCAAACCATGAGTTTTCATAGCTGAGTGTGGATGGCCGCCCCCGCAGACATGTGTGGTTGTGAGCGATGGCTCATAGGTCCCTCACTGCTAGATCTGGAGCTGTTCTTCACATTTTAAACTTGTAACGGCGTGGCTTTATAAAGGTCTCTTCCTTGCCTGTGCACTTCCGACAAGGATTCTCTCTCCCTCTCCCTCTCTCTCTCCCCCTCCCCCTTTCTCTCTCTCTCTCTCTCTCTCTCTCTCTCTCTCTCTCTCTCTCTCTCCCTCCCTCCCTCCCTCCCTCCCTATCTCTCTCTCTCTCTGACTTTCTCTGGCCCTCCCTCCCTCCCTCCCTTCCTCCCTTCCTCCCTTCCTCCCTCCTGTTTCTTAAGAAAGACATGCTTTAGTTGTGACTAGAAGCTGGCTGCTTAGGGAGCCCCCCTCTCCTGTTATGCCCAGGAGAACTCCTTTGTCTTGGCTATTCACAGAAGTCACAGCCTGGTTCTTTGACAGAGTAACTTGTGCTTTAACCTTAGGGGGCATTCCCTGTCAGGCACCCTCATTCCCTTTGAGCCCTTGGGCAAAGTGTAACTACTCATCGCTCTTCAAGTGCCCAGGGACCCTCAGTTCCCATGCCCACCGTTCTTTGATTGCCACGGATCCTTTCCCCCATGTCTTGATGGCTGTCTGTCACCCAAGCCTTGCATGATTCACTGTTCCCAGCATCGTCCCTGCCCTCGCACGTCCTCCCCCATAGAGGGGCATCATTTGCCATTTTTCTTCTCATTGATGGTTTGAAGGGATCCCAGCATTCTCATTTAGAATGCTCATTTCAGCCTACACGCTCTCCACTGTGGTTATTGCTTTCCTTTCTGTGGAGCAGAACTGAGATGCACACAAAATTTTTTTTTTCAAAAGCAGTTCACACTGAGTGTCAGCTTGGGGAGAACTTGGGACCTCTCAAAGGCAGGGCCAGACTTAGCACCCTGGAGGGCGGGTCAGAGCCTGGGGTAGGCTGGAGCCAGAACATAGACGTTTCCAACAAGTTCCAGGTGGTACT